CTCGTGTATTACAGCATTTTGTTCTAATTGGAATTTCCTAAGGTGTGATGGCTTCATGCCCAGGAATTACATGGCTGTAATCCAGCTGAGAGGTGATACATGTAAATAACCAAAGGGTGGACTTCATCTGCCAAGATGGGGTGGAGCCTTGTAGCAATCAGTGATAATAGAAGCTGCTGCTTATAGATACTACCATGGAACATAGCTGCATCAAGGATTCCAAATACCCTTAAGCTATAGACTGATCTGGATAATTTGTGGCCAGCATTTTCAATACAACAATGCTCCTTCCTGCAAATTCTTTGTAATGCCTTCATCTGCCTCTAAGTTTCTTTTAGAGTCAAGTGCAGCCAAATGTTTTTATAAATTAACTGATCTCGTCTAAGTACTTCGTGTAGTAGAGATGTGGGAAAAAATAGGAAGAGCTGAGTACCCTCATTGTTTTATTGTCACGTAAGTCTAGATAACCTAAGAAATTCTCCTTGGGTGATTGACAGTAATATAGAGAAGGACTGGAGAGAGAATGGACTCTTATAGGATACCTCAAAACAATTAAGTAAAGCTTCTCATTATTATTTTTTATTAGAACAGAAATGTATACACTCCTCTCTACTCTTTAAGAAAAATACCAAGACATCTTCTCACAAACTGCTGAATATATTTGGACAATAAGCATATATATCCTCCACCCATTTATGATCAAAGCTCCATTTATATTTCTAAGCAGTTTTAGTTTCATGGCCTGGATTTAACCCATGTTTTTTCAGGTCTAGAATATTAGTAGCCCTTTCATTTACTTATTTATTTTTCTATCTTAGTTTTGAGCTTTTTAAAGTATGCATGAATTACCACTAGACAATGGTGGTCTTATCATTAAGGCTGAGGAAATTGTGGTGTATTTGAAGAAGAAAGGGAAGAGTCTAGATTTCTTCTTCTGGCTGACATGAAGTCTGATACCAGGAATCAAAGGGTTTTCTGTCCTCTTTAACCATCCACCACCTGTTTTGTCATCCACCTGTGCATGTTATGATTCTTTAGTCTCTGCAAGATCATCACCTCCCTCTCATTGCATTGCTGGAATTCTTCATAGCTAGACCACAATGATAGTCCTTGCCACAATGATACACTGATTAATTCTGTTGAGAGTGCCCAACAGTTGGTTTTGGTTTTCCATTTTTTCTTAAGCTAGGGAAGATACAAACTGAATTTGTAAGTGCTACAACGCAGCGTATGATGAAATGTTAGGACTGTATGCTTGTATGTATGTATGAATGTACAAATGTTATTCTGCACATCTGGGCAGAGCAACCCATGGAATTTGGGGAAGGCTTTCCAGTGGGATTCATCATTTCTTCTAAGCAGGTGATAAGTGTGTCTCAAGTTCTTACCATTACTGAGTGTTCAGTTTCAAAACAAATCTTTGCTATAATCAATAATGTCTGAAACAGCATCTGGTACTTCAGAATTTCAAGCATATCTTGTAGGCTTAGAAAATTAGAATCAACCATGGATCTAATTATATAAGCTGCTCTCTTGGCACATTTCATCTGGATAGAAATAGGCAGAGCTGGGTATTTTTCAAAAGCTTGATCTCACAAAATTTCTAGTTTCATTGGGGAGGTCCATTAAGTATTTAAAAGTTAAGGAAGTTACTGAACCTCCAGCCCTCTGAGACTAACTCTTCACCAGCTGCAGAGACTGTTAAATATCTGCATCATATGTTGCATTTTATGAGAAAATAACTAATGCTTTTTTTTCAGTCTGCATGCAGTTAATGTCTGGGAAGGATAATGTAGCCTACAAATTAGGCTGCCAGTGCAGCCTTTCTTTTCTGGTCTTCAATTTTTTAGGCAAAGTCTGTGTATTCACTAATCCAGATCAGTGTGTGTATTAGACAAATGTGTATTGTTACAAAGCTAGAATATGAGTTTTTGAAATCAACTGCAAAACTTCATTTGATTGCAGTGGCAGAATAATGATGGAATGTTCAAAATATCATTTGTTTCTCACCACCAATTGCTGCTAGTCCACATCCTGTTTATTTAGGGCAAAGAGAAAAGCCTGTTTTCTGAACTAAGTTGTATTCTACTGGTTGGGTTCAGAAATGATGGAAAAAGTGTTAAAACATAATAAATATTTCTTTGAGTGGTATAATTACCTGTGATGTTATAGCTTTTGCTTATTGATTAGCATGAAAATCATGAAAAGCTAGGTCAAACTCAGCTCGTTTATTTTTGTGTGAAAGTCCCTACTGTGTAGTGGACAGCACTAGCTATTATCATGCAAGTACAAGGCTGCTATGGAAGTAATGCCTCCTACTTTTTGATGTTGGCCCACGATGTCAGAGGAAGATGGTGGTGGTATGGCAATAGAGGTTGAACCTTGACATCTATAAATCTTTACATTTTGTTGCCATGTAACAGATGGCAGCAGAGGGGCAGTCTGACAGAATGGTATCTGACGTGGAAATGTGTATGAAGCAAAGGTGTATCATTGAATTCCTCCATCTAAAAAAAAAAAATGGTACTCATTCACATTCTTTGACACTTGCTGAATGTTTATGGAGACCCAACAGTGGATGTGAGCACAGAAATGCAGTGGGTGATGCATTTCAGCAGCGGTAACATAGATGTGAAAGACAAGCTACATTCCAGGTGGCCACACACAGCTGTCATACCATGAAATGAAGAGCCTCTTGGTCATTTAGCTCATCTATGCAAATCAACTAATGGTGGGGCCTTTAAATTTAAAAATTATTTTACAGCTGAGAATTTGGTCTATCAAATAGCAGCATTGTGGTCTTAGTATCTGTCATAATTTCCATGGAAGTAAATAGGAAGCATTACTTTTGGAGCAACCTACACAATCTGCTTGCCCTGCTCTTAGAAGGGATTTTCTTACTGTTAAGAATGAATAGTGCCACTAAATATGCTGTCTACCTTCAGCAGAAGGGAAAAGTAATTTTTAGAAATCTCACCCAGATATTGTCCTGATTATGATATTTGGACATAACCCACTGGGAGATTTTCATTATTATTTTCTATTTCAAAGTTAAAAAAAAGAAGTTTAAAATATGGTCTGAAAAAAGCTTAATTTATATGTGTAGTATGTGCTTATGCAGTATTGCATTGTAGAAAAAAAATGTGAAGAGAATAGAAGTTTTCAGCGTAATAACATCTGATAAACTAGAATAACTGCATATATCAAGCATATTGCTGTTTACAAGAGGTGGACTTCCTGTTATGCATGTGCATAAGGAACTAAGAGCAGACTGATGCTTGAACATAAATGAGAATTTAATTGTCAACTCCCACAATTATCTGGGAGTTACAGTCACAATGCAGTCACATAATTAGTATTAAAATAAATGTGCAAGCCAAAGTTTTACTGCAACAAAGACTAGTGACAGGATGATATAAAACTGCAGAAATGTGCTTTGAGTCTGTTCTTTAATCATTCTCAAAATATATTCATTTTAATCATAGTGGAATTCAAATTATTTGAATTTTATCAGTGTTAGTGTGAGAAAAGAAACAGCTGGAGGACACTTCTTGAAAACAGTCACTAATATGATAATTGTGTAAGCAACCAAATGCCGCATCCTAAGATGTCAGTAGATGAACACAGAATGTGTTACAAAGATATCAACTTTCTCACGTTTGGCTATAGCAGGATCTCAGATAGCAGGCTGCCAATGCAACCAAAATAACTGGCAGCCAAACTTGCCTGTTAACATAAGGCTGTCCTCTTTCTCAGTTCTTAATTCATTTCTATTCCTGTGACATAGACTAATACTATTGGAAATAACTATATCCACCTGCCAGTCTAATTGAAAAGGAACTTCGTGGCTTAATTATAGGAAGAAAAGAGCCTACCTACTTTAAGATCAGTGTAGAAGTTGTCATCTTACTGCTAACTTCTACACTCCTGCTAACTGGTATTACAGTGCTTTGTGTTGTGAGGTTTTGTAGCTGTTGAAACTGTTGTCTATCATTAAGGTAAAAGTAAAATACAGATAGAGAAGATAAAATGAATTCCTTATCTATAAAGATACACTATATAGTTGTAAAATGAGTATTTTTAAATATTATACACTTGTCTAAACTCACAGTTTATATCAGTTTATCTATAGAATCCCTTACAGCTAGGACACCTATAGCTGTGACATGTAAAGTCACATCTACACAACTGCTACTCATATTCCCAACCTAAATGAAACATTCCAGGAAAAGTTCCAGGAAATATCTAACTCTATGAAGTCAACATGTCAAAAAGGTTTGGGATTTCATAGATGCCTCCATTTGGTGTTCTTAGGTTTTATGTTTTTGGTTATTGTATTCACATTTACTTATTTACAGTTCTTTCTTTTCATTTTTGTGGCATGCCAGTGTGTTTTTAGGTCATTAAAGTAAGATGTCTGAACTAAAAAAAAAAAAAAAAAAATAGTAATAATAATAAAAAAGACAAGCCTTCTGATCAATGCAGTTCTAATTCCACATTAAGTGTTCAGATTTTACCCACAAAATTTTGTTTTCTAAACACTGTACAAAAATAGTGTGAAAAATGCCTGTATTTTTCAAAGAACAAAGATATTCTTCCTAGTTCCTACAAAGATGATATTTTCCACCCCTTTTCTGTTTTAAAGTGATGCACTTGCCATAGAATTGAGATTAATCAAAGTTAACAGTGTTTGGAGAAAAAAATGCACTTTATGATTTGAATGGTATCTTGAAGAAAAGCAATCTCAGAGTTAAAGCATTAGAATGGTTTCAGTATTCCATTGGAAACATTCGTCTGTTTCATCTAAACTCATTTGTAAACCAAAAGACTTTTTGCTGATGTTCTGCCAAGTGCATAGTTTGGCTTTTTTTCTGAGGGATCTGGAGCAGACAGCCAATCTGGTTACTGTCTTGAAATTCCATTTACACTGGGAATTTATTGTTGGCTTTAGTCAGCTACTTGAATGATATTCTGGGTTGCTTCTTATCTTCAGTAACTCTGACAATCAGATGCAAGGAGCAAGATCATGAGCCACTGAGTCTGCTAGACTTGAAGAGGCTTGGGAAACCCACACAAAGTTTGGTAGATGAGGGAGGGGGGATATTTACAAAGGAAAGAGGAATGTCCTTATTCCATCTGGGAGATCCAATAAAAGTATTTGTTCTATACAATATACATTTTTTCATCTGATGATGTCTCTTTAAGAAATTTTGTAGAAACAAAAAGCCTTGATATAAGACAGTTATTTTGGATCTCTGAAGCCAGAAGAAAGTCTTCTTTCTAGAGTAACAAATATACTGTTCAATTTTCTAAAGCCTTTACTAATTGTAATGGTATTTAACTTAATATTTCCTTTTTTTCCTACATTTTACTTTTGCAGTTGGTTTTTATGCTAAAGAAGAAGAAACCTTGAGAAAATAAATAGCAACTACTGTTTTCTGTAAGTGATTTTAATTCATTACATTTCTTTATCCCTCACTTACCCCCTCCCTCTCTTATTCTAACAGCTTCTATCTTATGCCACAAGCAAATATAATTTCTGTTGTTGCTTCTTTGCTAAATCCAATTTGTTATGATGTATTATGCATGCCAGTATAATTGCAGAGGAGGAGTTAAACTGAATGACAGTTTAAAGAGGTGCATTCCTTTGGCTGTGTCAGTCACAAAGAGCAGCAAAAAGAAAAGTGGGACGAATTGATGAAAGTATTAATCTGCTGAGATTTCAGATGAAACAATGGGACTGTCCTAATCAAGCCATATCCTCTGGAGAACAAAGTGCCATTATGGACTCCTGTTACAGAGAAAATTACTATAGCCACAATAGTATTATCAGTTATAGTATCTACTGTAATCTTTGTGTATACATTACTAACAATTAAAAAAGTGCTTGTCAGTACCAATCTTAAGATAAACCATTTTTTCGAAGAAATATGAGAGCTTTATGAGATCCTGTATAATAAGTTTGTCTTTTGCCATTTATTTTCTTACAAAGAATAGAATAAAATATGTAATAATCATAAATAAGTGCTAAATTGCAAGGTAGGTAAGTATTCCAAGTGAAATCTCTTTAAAGAAAATGCATAAGATTTTCACTGCAAATGAGGATAGAGGTTATAAATACAACAAATTACACCTTTGTAATTCTGATGCTGGGGAACATGATGTATCCATTAAAATAATGGTAAAGTGTTTTACACTTTTTATTTCCTTCAACAAATTGCAGTGGTTAAAAAAAAAAGCTTTTAAAGTCAAGGTTTTTTTCCACTCTTTTACACCATTGAGCTACAATTCCTTTGTAACATTTTAGAGATAACTGCTCTAAATATGTTTATGTCATTTGTTTCTGCACTGTTTCCTGAGTCTGTCACAGACAGCCTGATCAGATGGTAACAGTGGTGTGGGGCAGGAAGACTTAAGCAGTGATGCACTGAAGATGACTTCATGCTTGAAACTTTCAGAGCAACTCAGTTGTCTACTATGGAAAAGGATTCTCTCCCACTGCTGTGCATTTTCCTGTCCCTGGTCTTGAAAAACATTTAGAGAGCTGTTTTAGCAGAGGAGTGAATGTACTGTTGCTCTGAACTATTTATAGATCTCTGTTATACAGATTAAGTTCTGTACATAACAAGAAAATAAGAAGGATCTTAAAGAGCCTTGAATCTTAGGGGAATCAGATTTGATAAATCAGCTCTTCAAAAGAACAAGCAAATGTTTTGAGTGGGAATGGGCCTGCAGATTCAAATTGTCCACCTGTACTTTCATATCAGCCAATAAAAATAAAATACAAGAGATTGCTTTCAAAGCAGCCCTCGTATTCAAGTATGCAACTCACCAGTCAGCTCACTCAATCACATAGAATCTTGGGATTCCCGTTATTGTGAAAGTCAGCCCCTGAACTTTTCATCTTTCAGTATATAAATTCCACAACCCTTATTAAGAACAATAGCAAATCAAAGAAATGTATGATATGGTCCTTATTCTTTGGAAAACTGGTTAAGTCTGAATATTACCAGATGAGAAACCATTCTGACATTGAAGGAGCAACACTGAGTTTTCCCCAAGTACAATCCTGAAATTGAGAAGACAGTAACCAGTTTGCTGACATTACCTACTGTTCCAGAAGTACTGAATTTTTTTCCTTAGGTCTGTTTTCGGATTAAATCAAATCACTGCATACTTATGAACTGAGCAGGATCCTATGATAATAGTTTTATCCCAGTGAAGATCAATTCAAAGTAGAGACCTCATCCATAAGAGGCTTTTCTGACTGATAGTTAGCAAGTCCATTATAAGTAGAATCTGTTTAGTATTTCTTCAGAGTTGTCTTATCAAATCTTCATAGAAATTTGATCTATCTAAAAGGTCCTTTGAAACTGCAAACAGGCATACGAATTGAAGTGTTGCTATTCATGAAAATAATCTTTTTACAGGATATTTGTAGAAAGAGAAATATTATGTTTGGTAATTTCTTTTCTAAAGAGACACTTTAGGCTTCTGTAATAAATAGTACTGTTACCAACACACACACACGGAAGTGCAAATTCTTACAGGAATGCTGTGTACTTCAGAAACAAGTATTTCTGACATAGAACTGGTCGTAGAACTGTATGCTCCTAAATAGAATGGAAGTCCTCACAAAACAAAGCCCTTCTAAGTTGCAAACCTTTTTTGTGCTAGCTACTCCAGCTAATGGAAAAGCCACATAATGTAAATATTGCACACATTTTCGAAGGAAATGGCATAATTTGTCTTTCCTACACTTGCCTTTCGTACTGCTTTTGGTGCATACAGGGGTACCCAGTGCTTGGAACAGTAAAACAAAAAGCTCAGTAGAGATCAGTCTAGACCAGGCAACCTCACAAAAAAAAAAAAAAAAAAAAAAAAAAAAAAAAAAAAAAACCCAAAGGAAAGGCAAAGCAGTGACTATACTGCTGCTATACTGCTGCTGATAGGACTGCATAAGCTGGCACAAGATTGCCACATTATTATAGGAGAGTGAATCATTCAATCTAAGGTGCCTTTCCCTTCTCTATGCATTAAAGCTCAAAGAATAGCAAAAAGTTTCTTTTAAGAAACTGCATTCCAGTCTCTGCATTCCAGTCAGTACTAGAGTAGGTCATCTGAAAATAGCTCTTGCCATTGTTTCTTCATCTGCTACTTGGATGGGTAGGTCAGTTTGAAAAAACTTCCATCCCTGACTATTAATATAAGCTAGAAGTATCATATAAGCTCTTTTTTTTGTACTAATTTCATTCATATTGCATGGTGATAAAAGTGAGTATGATTACAAACAGGGTCTTGAGATATATTAATAGCATGTTAAAAAAAAAATATGGCATATTATAGGATTTAGTTTGAAGTATTTAAAGCAGAAAAATATTTTCTTGTATTAGAAGCAACTGGTAGAATTCTTTATTTTTTTTTTAAGTATCAAGTCTTCCCAAACAAAATCAATTTTTATCTTCTACTGTAGGCCAACTATGGAAACAGCAAGATCAGTTATGAGAGATTAAACAAAGACCTCTTCATTAAGTCAGTGCCCCTTCAATCAAAACAATATTGTTTTCTGTAGAACATTTACTAACGTCATATCATGGGGGACTTCTGCATTAGAGCATTGTCCATTTAAAAAAAAAAAAAAACAAAAAAACAACAACATGTAAAACATGCCTGTGAACTATTCTGTTGTATAAGAAAATAACCTTCTATGGCAGTTGCTTCAGAAATATTCCTCCTTGCTTTATAGCATATATTTTACTGATGGAGTTTAAATCTGCACCTGCTATGACATCAGTGTGGTTTCACTAAACAGCCCTGGCAACAGTACATTATAGATTTTCAGAAGTCAATTGTGTATTTTGGTGCATCACAGCTTCTTACCGGCTTTACCTGGAATCACCTCATACAAAGTCAAGCACAGTCAGTGACAGAAGAGTCCCATTGATTTCACTTGCAGGTGTTCTGTTCAACTTGGAATAGTTTTGAATGTGCTTTGAATTTTATAGAGGCTTTCCAGTCACCTTTGGGCCTGCCTAGTTCTGAGACAAGTGCTTGGGCTGATGTTGGGCAGCCCCAGATAGCTCCAGCCTGAATGACCCATGCGGAGTTTGTTCTCTTCTACTCTTAGCCTAGCATTTGCACTCTGAGCCATAAGCGATGTAAGGACATAAGAACTTTTCTGAGGTGGTGGCTTAGTAAGAAGATTAAACACAAATCCAACTTGAAGCTCTGTCATAAAGGGGCCTGATTCAAGACTAAAGAATTTTCCCTCTATTTTCTGTGCCTTTATGATTCATCTAAGTTTATTGCTTTGCTCTGAAAATTATGAAAAGAAAAAGTACATATCAAAAGGGAAACAGGTTTCATAGTGTTAGCTTTGAAGCTTGTAATCTCCCACAGAAAACCGACTGAAACTTCCAACATGGTTTGCCCCATAGAGAGCAGGTGAAAACATGATTTGGAACAGCGTGACAATGTCTATTACCTCCAAATGCGTCCATTATAAAAGAAAATCCTTCTGCCCACTAATTTTGTCTGTGTTCAATTAGAATGAAAATGTAACAAAAGCTAGGTGGATTAAAGAGTACTTGTTTTCCTTACTCTCCAGAAGCCTAAATTCAATATTCTACAACTTGGTTGTTTTGTTTGTACAGATCTCCTTGCTTGCTTGGTCAGGCGTTTTTGGTTTGTTTGTTTGTTTGTTTTTTTCCCAGCTTTTTTCAGCTACTAAGGTTGCTTGTGCCACTTGCATTCTTTTCATATTGTGTATACAAAGAATTTGTATTGTCTATTGTTTATTCAAAATGTCCAACTTTATTTTGCCAAGGCTATCTGTTTTTAAATTAGTAATTTTCACTTCCTCATACAATTCTTCTAAATTACTTTTTGGAGTACTGGCTATTAATATTTTAGGTAGCTTTGATGTTTTACTTTATAGTCTTCAGTTTTATTTTACATTTCACAGGTTTCTTGTTGCAAATAATCCTACAGGCAATTTTCTCACATTGCAACTATTCCTTGAAAGATATGCTAATGTAGAAAGGCACTTGCAATACTGGGGGTTAAGTTAATCACCCAAAATGAGTCGTATTACTGTCAGTGGTATATAAAGACATCCCATAGTGAATTACTAGGCAGAGTGTTAAAGCTGCTCTATAAATACCGGAAGCTGAAGATGTGCAGAAATAAGCATTCATGTCAGAATCCATTGAGCTAAGAAATTCAGGGGTTTTTGTTTCTGGAATCAAAGGTACCAAATAAATACAATGTTTGTGTTTTCTTTTAAAAATCTGCAATATTATTTGGAAAGCCTTTGTGAATAGTAAAAATAATAATAATAATAATAATAAATAATAATAATAATATTAACTCCCTGTATGTTAATATCTCTGCACAGGAAAAGAATTGTTTGCTCTTTGTTCAGGAGTAAGAAACTCAGGG